AAGAGAGAAAAAAATTAGCAAATAGATTATTAGCTGGGAGAAGGGAACAGCAATATACAAGAAGATGTTGACTAAAAGAAACACACACATGCACACACAAGGCAATATACAGAAATGATTCTATAAAACTAAATGTACATGAATGAAACAATTCATATGAATAATGTGTAAAAGTGAATGTTATAAATAATAATACATTTTTTAAAAGATGTTCATTAGATATTGTCATTAATTTGCAACATTAATCAATGAAAATGTTGTATCTAGAAATTACATGAAAATGCAATACAAAAATGAAAATAAAATAAATAGCAATAATTACTGTAAACATACTAAAGCCATTCTTTCATGAGCTGCTTTTTTCACATTAATATATGAGTATTTTGTGTGACAGTCTTTATGGAGGGCATTTAGTCAACTGGTTATGTGGGTGAATCCTGATGTGACCCTTTTTACAGCCTGAACGGATATCACAGAGCTGGTGTGTGACCACAGGGAAGGAAGTTCATTAACATGACTTTGCCTTATTTTCTTCTTCAATAAAGCAGTAAGAAACAATAACAAGAACAGCCATGAGCTGTCATAGGACTGTTTTGAGGATTAATTGAGATAACTCATTTCACTTCAGCTCCTAGAAAATGTGGACCCTTCCAGGCTCTTCACCTTCTAACCACATCTGCAAGCTCCCCAAGAGCCATTACTCACATCCTCTCTCTGGCCTAAAACATACTCTGCATTTCCCCCATCTGTTCCTTCTCTCAATGCATTTCCTCTTCCTACAACATAATCTCTTCCCCATCTCAACCTAGCAAAATCCTTCCAACTCCTCCAGGTTTTCATCCTTCGGACAAGCATTATAGTTGACTGACCTGCAGGAGAGCACCATGCCCCACTTTTTCTTGCTAACAGGAACCTTAATTTTGGAGACCAGGTGCTCGAGAGGAACTAAATCCCTCTCTAGTACCAGACAACTGACATACACTGGCCTAAAGCATCTTTGGTCATTCCTTTCTCTTTGCTAACTTTTAGTTTCAAAAGTGGATCTATCAGTGGCAAGGAGCTGCAACTACAATCCCAGAGGCAAACGGTTCGAATCCACCAGATGCTCTGCCGGGTAAGGAGGGACAGTCTCCTCCTGTACCAGTCAGATCTGATTTGACGGTACAGGCACACAAAAATAATAAAATAAAATAAAAAATGTTAAAAAAATTTAAAAAAGTTATTTATAAAAAAAAAAAACAACAAAAGTGGATCTATCAGGAAATTGTAGTCAATGAGAGGTGAAGGGGGTTGACACTTGGGGAGGGGAACTTTGGGGCTATTTTCCTTTGTCTTAAGAAAGGACACAAGGAAGAGATGTTTTCTTTTCTGTCCTGTGGTGTGAGCCTTGAACCTGTGGTCATCTTCTGACCATGAGATAACGGGAAAAATGCTGAGTCTGCAGACAGAAAAACTAGAAAACATCGAGTGCTCCATGGCAAACAGCCATCTGATCAATCAACTCAGAAAGTGATTCTCTTTGTACTTCAGACTTTTTTTTTAAATCATGAGTTAGGACCTCTGTTATTTGCATCTAAAAGTTCCTAGAATCTAGGAAGTGCAGATTCTCATTTCAAATACGGGACATGTTCAAGTGAGATATCACAATTTATGAAGCAGAAGGAAGGAACTGGGAAGGAACTGGAAGCTATAAAAGGAACTAGAGTGAAAAGCAAGTCCTCACAGTCAATGGCTCAAACAGTCTTTTTTCCCTCCTCTTAATTAGAGTTCAGGGAGCTCTGGTGGCCTAGTGTTAAGAAACTATGCTGTAATCCTAGAAGTACAAGGTTCCAATCCACTCTGCAATCTACTCCCCAAAAAGAAGGATGGGCAGTCTTCTCCCCTGTGATTAACTGCCCCTAAAAAGCAGCTTGAGGGTCAGCTATGAGTCAGTTCCAACTCAAAAGCATACCTCAACAGTTACAGTTTGTGTGCAAGTTTACATGGCAAGATAACTTTTCCTTCAATACTTTATGCACATTTTTTTTCATGGCATCAGTTGCAACATCTTCAGTGTAAACTTTCTTCCCACTTCCTTCCCATATTTCCATTTGTCCTGGCCCTTCATGCTGAGTTGGTTTTTTTAAGCAAATGTTTATATGGTAACTGTAATGACAAGTACATTCTTCTTTGAAGTTATGAATCACTGTATAGGCCTGTCTGTTCTTTGACTGGAAAGTGACTCTTAGGGATAGGTTTAGTTGGAAGTTTGAAATTTCATTTTGGCCACCAGGGAACTGTTACTGAAAAGAGAAGACAGAGAAGAGATAGAGAAATGAAGATAGAACTTTTTTTAAAAGAGGGCCTTTTTATTAGCAATGATAAATTAGTCAGAAGTTGAAAAAGATTACATGGGCTTCTGTGAAGAAACCAATATGGCCAAGCATATACAGAAAGCTTGTAACTCTCTGGCGATTCAAATCCACCACTGCTCCACAAGAGAGACAGACAGTCTCCTTTCATGTAATTTACAGCCTCTAAAAACCCAACTGCTTTTGAGTTGGCATGACACGTCTTACCCACTAAGCAGGATAGATTAGAAATCTTATGGAATAAGTTTATGATAATGATAGAGGAAGAACCCAAAAAAGGAGTGGTAAGAATTGTATACCTTGAAGAATAAAATCAAAGTCGCTGAAATATGTATGGAGAAACTTTTGTGTATCATGAAGAATGCTAAAAATAAATAAATAACATTTACAGGGGAAATAAGCAAAATATAAATAAATGTTCTCTGCTTGCTATGTTAGCTGTTCATGTAAAAGAACAGCATGTCTATCTCAAGAGTTGTTTGGTTTTTTTCCATTCTGTGCAACCCCCAACAGAGCTCACAACCCCAGGATAAGGAGGCTGGCTCATGGTTTGAGGCGACAGTTTACTCTGGCATGGTACACTATGAAAAACCTACATAATGTCTTCAAGATTCACGCATGTTTGTAATGTTTGATGAGTTCATTGTTTTGTTTTGTTTTCTTATTAAACATATTTCTTTTCCATCAACCTTATTTCCACTTTTTAAAATACAGTTTAAGACCACTCGGTGGTTGTTCCAACCCACTCGGTGGCCTGAGCGGTGGGGGCTGCAGCCCAATCTTAGCTGCAGGCTGCGCGCTCCAGTCTTCAGTAGGGAACTGCCGAAACAACACAGAGGGCACCTGGACGCCTTCAGACCAGTCTGTAACCTCAGGCTGAGCAGCAGTGAATTCAGGAGCAGTGGTGTCCATTCTCCCTGAAACTCCTCCTTGTCACAGCCTTTTCAGCAGCAGCCTGTTCTTCCTTTTCAGCCTCTTCCGGATCTTTGTGGAAGTACATATCGGGCATGACCTCCCACGGGTGCTCCCGGGAGATCGTGCCACGCATGCGCAGGACTTCCCGGGCCAGCATCCACCACATCAGACCCACAGAGTGAGCTCCCTTGTTGTTGCACGGGATAGCAATGTCTACATAACGCAGAGGAGACTGTTACACAGGGCAATGATGGGCAGGTTAAGGTAAGATGCTTTGTCAGAGGCTGGTGGTCAGACCTGGGATCAGTAACCACCAGAAGACAAGGCTCCCAGAAGGCTGCCTGGATCTGGTCAGTGAAGCAGCAAACTTCAGAACAGCTCTCTGGCCAGTATTTCTGGAGGATATGACACTGACATCAGCTGGATTTTCAATGGCAACAATGGTACAAGCAGCCAAGAGCAGCTTCTCCCAGGTCCTCTTCAGGTTTATGATGTAGATCCCATCATTTTTCCTTTTGTAGATGTACTGTTCCGTTTGGAAGTCAAGGTTGGTGCTGCCTAAATGCATTCCTGCTGCAAGGAATTTGAGGACATCCTCCTTCACCTGCAGGACATCAAGGGCTCCGGACATTGTGGAAGTTTCCTCTTGACCCAGAACAATGCCGTATGGACCCTTTGTGTGGGTAGCACAGAAAGGTGAGTTCATTGTTTTTTAATGCTGAATGAAATAACTCAGTCACAAAAGGACAAATACTGCATTATACGTCTGTTATAAAATCCAGCTGACATGGGAGGTTGGGGCAAAATAGGAATAGAGTGGATAGATAATGAACACTGCACTGGAACAGATGTGGGGAAGAACTGTGAAAGGAATATATGATTAGGCATTATATGTATGACAACAATCTAGAACAAGATGTACATTGCACCAGCAACTGGAGGAGGGGGACAGGATGGGGGGGGGGATGTACAACAGTGAATGAATTTTAAAAAAAGAAAGAAAAACCTACGAAGAAGAGCTTGCCCCAAATCCATTACCACATTTTACTCATGACATTTATAAGATAATTTGTCCTCAAAAAGTCATGATGACTCACTCAATCCTCAAGTTATGAGCAATGGACCTAAACTAATTAGCTAACAATGTTGTTGTTAAAAAAAAATGTTGTTGTTACTGTTGTATATCATCAAGTTAAAACCAACTCATAGCTGACCAGCACGCTTTTAGAGACAGTAAAATGCACAGGAGGAGACTGTCCATCTTTCTACACTGGAGCAACTGGTGGAATTGAACCTTGTACCCTTGGGCTGGTAGTGCAACACCTTACTAGGAAACAACCAGATAAGTTAGAAACTTTAGTTAGAACCCAGATTAGGGAATGAAACCTTCACTTTGGAATCCATACTTCAAATGCTTCTTTCAGTTAAACAAGTTTCAAAGAGTCATTTGTGCATAGGATGCAATCTTTACCTCACTGCCATCACACACATACACACTGCTTGAAAAACACTTCCTCTTGGAATGGAGAGCACAGCTATGTGTGGTCCAGTAACCATTAGAAAGTTGCAATGCTAAACCAGTGGTTATTCTCAGGTGGATCGAATCCACAGGGAGGATCTACTGGAGAAAGGGGCAATTTACAGCCTCTGGTTGGGATTTACAGCCTTGCAAGGTACGTGACTTGAGACTGACTGACGTGACTGAAGTGATTTGAAGCTCCTGGCTTCTTGTCTTCAGGAGAGGATGAGTTTCTTTCTCAGCGTGTGCTGCAGTGAGACAAAGTATTTCTCTTTAGGAGACACTTTGCTGTTCCAATCATATATTTTGCTGTGGAGTTCCACGTGGAGATCTAGGAGTGGGAGTTTTCTGAAAGAAAAGAGAAAGGCAAAAATGAAGGCCATGCAAATATCAAAGAGATGGCAGATTTGCATTAGGGTAAAACCAGCCAAGAGATGTGATCCTGCTCTGGAAATGTTCCTTACTAAACGTTCAACAAGTTGTTTAGTAAGTAATCTGTACTTGCCAAACAGAGCAATGATGTCAGTTTAAAGGCTAAAGACATCTGATCAAATCCAAGGTCTTGTCAATTACTTGCTATGCATCTGAAAGTTGGACAATGAATAAGGATGAGTCTAACATCGACTGCCAAAAGAACAAACAGATGTGGCTTAAAGAAAGTGCAATCTGGTGTTTCTTGGAGGCGAGGCTGGTGAACAAACTCTGGACATGCTGTTAGGACGAGCCACCCCTTGAAGAAGGACATCAGGCTTGAAAAGGCGGAGGGTCAGTGAAAGACAGGAAGGCCCTCAATAAGAGAGACTGACACAGTGACTATAACAATGGGCTCAAGTTATCAGAGAAGATGAGGATGAAACAGGATAGGGCAGGGTTCAGATCTTGTTCACAGCGTCACCAAGAGTCGTAGTTGACTCAGTGGCACATGACTGAGTTTTACTGTGGCAACACATCAGTTGGATGGTAACCCACCTATGCAAATGCAAGGTGATGAAAAAGGCCAGTGATAGTACCTGATTTCAACCTTCTGGGTCTGAGTTGCTTTTGCTAGATAGCTTTCCGCAGCCTTCTCCTAAGCCACTGCTGAAGAGGTTGGGAATAACAAATTATGAGATTTATTTCTAGGCCACACAGAGTTAGAACCAGAATGCTCATCCCAGGTAGTTCAGAAGCATCATTCTAAACTCTAATTAGGCAGAAACCAGGAAAGGACAGCTAATCTCACACTTGAGGTAAACTGTGGCTTCACTAAGTTTAAAAGGCAACTAGGTCGCTAATGTTTACCTAAGAAAAGCATTCTTGCCAGCTGACTTTAAAAATGTTACACAACAAAGACTTGCAGAACTCATGAATCAGATAACATTTTCTTGCTATCAAATGGTCAAAATTAGGGGAAAAGGAGTTTGGGGGGGACATGCAAATAGGCAAGCACTCTTTTTCCTTTTTTTTTTATGTAAAAGTGAAAAGCAGATAATTGTTTTAGTTAATAGAGATGTTCCTAATGGTAGAATTTATTGGCATTCAAGTTGTAGCTTCAAAAGGAGAGTAGGGAACTTTTAATTGACTTCAAATACTCAAGGGTGGTATAGCTGTTAGAAAGCAGGCTGGGGAACATCCCAATGCCAGCCCAAAAACAGAATTTCAGGGCTCAAGTCTTTTCCTTTTCTCCAAATCAAATCCAGCAGCAACTGTAAGAGAAAGATGGACAGTCTTCTCCCATGTGATTTAAAGCATCCAAAAGCCTACTGGAGAGTCAACTATTAGTTGGTTCCAACTCGATGGTAATGAGTTGGTTGGTTATCTATAAAATCGACCTGTTCTTTTTAAATGTATTTTGCAAACATTTTCTTTTTTAATTGAAAAAAAAAAACCAAAAAAACAAGCACTCTTGTACAAACTGCTTTAACTTTCCCACAGAACAATCTAGTAAAAGGCATCAAAGACTTTAAAAATGTAAGACTCAGAGAGATATAACTGGGTATTTCTGTCATCACAGGAGACTAGAGCGAGGGCTACATGGTGGAGGGGACCTGGGGGAGGGTTTGTAAAACAATGAAAGAATCTTTTCTTTTACTTTTCCATCATTTTTGGACTCATGTACTTATAACTTGCTAGTCAAATTTGTGTCTTCTAGGTTGCAACACCCCCATGATACATCTTCAAGGATATGAACATGTACAGCCAAGCACAATCAATAAGAGTGCATCTAAATTCCAAAATCAATCTCCATAATAGTCTATGTGTTTCCTACTGCCAAAGGAGCCCTTTAGAGTAGTGAGAGAAGATCTTCACCCTGAAACCCACAGCGTCCCTTTTCAGCAGGAGGTAGCTAAGAGAATACGCCATCCCCTTTTCCTTATGACTCAGGGTGAAGTCTCTCTCAGGGAGGAGTGATAGGGAATGGCAAAGGACACACTGACAAAGAAGATTAATCAGAACTGGCTTTGACAAGCACTGTGGCATTTGGACAAGAACAAACTGGGAGGAGGGTAGAGAGAATAGTGCAACAATGAATGAGTGGAAGCCCAAAATCTTTGTAAATGTTTATGAAAATTAATAAAATATAATTATAGAAAAAAAATGTAAGACTCAATATTCAGGGGATACTGAGTATTACTAGTTAGAGGTGACAAATGTGGGGACAGTCAGTGGCAACGACTGAACAATGTGGTGAGCACAAATCAATGACCTAGTCTTTTACATGCAAAGATAGCAAATGTTTCATTGTTTGTATATGTGTTTTTTTTAAAACTGCAAGCCCTGCACTGCAGTAATTTTACTTTGGGAAGTTTTCCCTACAAAACAACCAAGGAGAAATACAAATGCAAAGCTGCTTCACGTTTTTCTTTTTTGTGAAAGCAAATCACTGTGTGATAACTGGAAACTGGTCAGGAAATTACACGACGACCATATAATGGACTGTCCTACAGCCATTAAAACAAAGCAGCAGAAATATGTCTACCAACATGTAAAATGTTTGTGATAAATCTTGTAAACAAGATAAATTCAGGATATAAAGTAATAGTAGTTCAAGGTTTTATTTTGGCTTAAAATATACTTATATGTGACTGTGTGGGTATTAAAAAAATGGAAGGAGATCCATTAATAGAAGGCTTTTTTTAATAGAACTGTTTGTAACAGTTCACGTTATATTCTGCTTTAAGTCTGTATTTTTTGAGTTTTTATCTGTAATGAAAGAATCCCTTAATTTTGAAGGAAAAAATTCAAACTACAAACTAATTTAGAAGTCAGCTGAAACTGTGTAAGGTCTATATTATATTTCTAAGGGAAGCCCAATGGAGAGCAAAAAAATCTCTCTTCTTCCCACAAGACACGAGCACTGAATGTAGTGGTGCTCTCCATCTTGGAAACAGGACAAATGACAAGTGGTCCAGGCCCTGGTTACCCTCTGGGAAGCTCACCTTCTTTGCTGCAGAATCTGGGAAAGGTATGATAGGTACATCGAGTTTGAGTTGGGGTACTGCTCCAGCAGGCCCACGTCTGCTCTGCACAGACTCCAGAGGAAGTCAGCTTCTCGGTGGACCATGAAGGGTCCAGGCTGCCTTGCTTTGGAATCCACATTGTTCATTCCTGCTCCATCGACTTCCAGAAGGCTGCTGTCCTCCCATTGGTTCTTAGACACTTCATAGTTCTGAATGAAAAAGAGTTTGGGCTTTCCTAAGAGAGAAGGGCATTTATCGCCCATGAATAGTCTCTTGATGAAATCAAAGGACAGCCCAAACTGAGTGCAATCCACGCCAAACAAGCTGTGGGAGCTACCTCGGCTCACCAAGATGCACACAAAGCTGTCATAGTTTTGGTGTTGGGACAGAGAGGCAATTCGTTTAAGAGTCTGTTGAATATTTTCCACTTTTAGACCAAAGTGGTCCTGAACATCAAAGCCCAGGGATGTGAAGGTATGCTGAAGAGACTCTGAAAAAAACAAAACAAAACAAAAACCAAACATTGGAGTAAGAAAAGTTCACATGGAACAAAAGGTCATCAAGTTTTTCTTCATTGTCTACTATAGAGGCTCCACTGAAACATGTCCAGGGAGTCTGCTGGTATTGGAAATGTTGACGGTATAACTTCTGGTATTATAGCAATCCACAAATTACCACAGAATATTAAGTGCACAGATGAATAGTAGTCTACAGCTTCAGCCTCCTAGAAATCCTACCACGTTCAGTTCTTCCTCAGTTCCATCCAGAAGAATAATTCCAGTTTTCTTTCCACATATGGTTTGGCTCTATCCAACAATCTGTGAATCTTCTGCCCAAATAAACCTTATCTCATAGCTTAATTGTATTATTAACGCAGTTTCTTTTGATGACATCAAAGATCTCATCCATGAAGAGAGCAAAAGGTAATAACAAAGACAAAGGAGAAAGAAAGGCCAAAATGAATGTCAGAAGGGATGACAATTTGCAATAGAATGCAGAGGCCAAATCAAAGAGAAGAAATACTGGCAAGATATAAATAGATTTGAAAGGGAAGATTGAGAAGGCATGACAAAGTATAATGAAAAGTGCAGAGAAAATCAAAAGAGATTTCTCATGCTGAAAGGACTGAAGAAGAAATTCAAGTTGCAAAGTGAAATACTGAAGAATTCAATAGGAAACGAATGATGACGGAAGCATAAAAAAATGATGGCAAGAACACAGAGTTATGATATAAAAAAGAATTGGTTGATATTAAACCATTTCAGGAAGTAGCAACATAATGAAAAAACCAATGGAAATGAAGGGAGAAATTCAAGCTACACTGAAGGCACTGGCAAAAAATAAGGCTCCAAGAACTGATTAAACATCAACAGGCAGCTTTCAATAAACAGATGCAGCCTTGGATGTGCTCAGTAGTTGATATCAAGAAATCTGGAAGACAGCTACCTAGCCAAATATGAAAGATCCATATTTGCTCCCATTTAAAAAAAAAAGTGACTCAATAGAATTTGGAAATTATCAAACAATATTATTAATATGACATGCAAGTGAAATCTTATTGAAGATTATTAAAAAACAGATCAGTACATCGATGGGAACTGTCAGAAATTCAAGCTAGATTCAGAAGAGGCCATGGCATGAGGAATATTATTGCTAATAACAGAAATCAGAGATTATCAGAAAGATGTTTACTTGTGTTTTATTGTTTAATTATGTGAATCATAACAAATTGTAGTTAATATTGAGAAGAATAGGAATCCTGGAATACTGTGCTCATATGTAAAACCTATACATAGACCAAGGAGCAATTTTCTGAACAAAACAAGGGGATATTGCATGGTTTAAAATCAGGAAAGGCATGTGTCAGGATAGTATCCTTTCTCCATACCAATTCAATCTGTATGCTAAGAAAATAATTTAAGATCCTGAACTACATGAAGAAGAACATGGCATCAGGATAGAAGGAAGGCTCATCAATAACCTGCATTATGTATATGACACAATTTCGATGCCAGAAAGTTAAGAAGATTTGAAGCATTTCTTTGTTGTTGTTGTTGTTATGTGCCGGCGAGTCATTTGCGACTCATAGCGACCCTATGCACAACAACCCTAAACCCTGCTCTATCCTGTGCCAACCGCACTGCCTCTGACACACCCATCCCGATTACCCCAGTCACCGAATCAATCCATCTCATAGAGGGTCTTCCCCTCCTGCGCCATCC